TATTAAGCCCTCTGACTGACTATTATTTCATTAATGATAATGAGTAATAGTAATAACAAATTATTAAATTATTGTAGCCAAAACGAGGCCAAGTGGAGCATCTTATTCAAAAATAAAGTACCAAGGAATGAAAATTAAAATCGTGTACATTACACCCAAACACCGCAACGCTCGAGTTTCAAACATACGGGTAGCTAGCTGTACTGAACCGTCTGAGTAAATTGAGGGCGCAATTGCAAACGATGGTGCTTAGTGAAATTTGATTGGCTAAATCTATGGCAGCCATCTTGGATGGTACCCACACAGTTCTGCGTATTTGGAACATCGAATACATTGCGGTTAGCGCTCTAGTATTCTTATTATTATCTCTATGGAGTAGTCGTATGAAGGTACCATATCCCAGACAGTTGGCTATGCAGCAATGTACCCTTTTAATTAATACAAATTGAAGACAAGTGAAGATATAAAGGCAGTCGACTGTCGGGTACATAACGACTATCTAACTTTCCACAAAAACATTAGGCCTAAGCTAGGCCTAGTTCGTCAGTACAGTAGTTACTGCGATGCGAGGCGAGGGTGGTGGTAGATCGTTTAGTCAGTGATATCGTGTTATCGTCTAATACATTTTAATAATGTGTGTACAATTTAAGAATGCACCGGGTGGGTTGCTTTCCTTGTTATGCGGTAGTAGTATACGTAGCAGAGCAATTAAGCCTAGCCTAGGGCCTAGATGGTATACGTTCTTGATCATCGACGATCGTAATGAAAACTTCGGGTGACAGACGATATTACAATACAACCTGTCTCTTATACACATCTAGATGTGTATAAGAGACAGCATGTATATACGCGCGTGTATATATACATGCGTGTATATATACATGTGTAAATATACATGCGTATATATATGTGTATATGTACGTGTATATATATACACGTATATATATATATAGGGCCTATATACTTTTTAAGTCATGTATCATGCATAGGAACGTTGATGCCTGCAAGGCTCTGGTTTTATTATTATAATTTTTTATTTATTTTATTATTAATATTTTATTCTAATTTTTTATTTATTTTATTATAATTTTTAATCAAAAACTAATATGCAAAAAAAGCAATTCAAATATTAACAACTAAACCATTAACTCTTGACATAGACCTGTTGCTAATGTACGGCAATAGTAGCAATTGAAACAGTAAGTTTTAGGAGTGAATGCAGGGGCTTAGCCAAAAAAACGAAATATGCTGTAGTTTAATGCAATATTTGATAGATTTGAATATTATAAAGAATTTTCTAAAGGTAGACCAGGCCCAACTAGGCTAGGCCGTTCTAAGTAGGCCAAACCATCCAAGCCATCACAGAAAAGTGGCTATCTTAAATAATTGTTGGCCATTCAAAGACGCACAGACGGCTCGCTGGCTAAGCCCGTGAGTGAATGATACTTGAACATTCCTACTATCACAGTGGTATAGTCCATTTTCTTATGGTTTTTATCAGTTTTGTTCCACACCCAAAAGACATAGACGATTCACATGCATTGCGGTTTTGATCTTTTTTCGGAATTGGCACCATATAAAATTTGAGATTATTATTACAGGCCTGGGGCACCCTTGGTATATCTGATTCTTTATGGGCGCCTTGACTCAGAATCTGAATAACTTTATTATCTCCAATAGAATAATTCTTTTGCTCGATAAAACCTTGCATATAAAAATACATTCAAAATATGAATACATCAGATTTTTAAAATGTTGCAATACTAAAACATCAAAAATCGAACAAAATAAAAGAATAAAAATAGCAATTGAATCCCTCGACTTTTGGTAATCTTTTCCCATACCCTAGATTATCCAGCCACGGTAGTTTACAGCACTTTGAGTGACTCACTCTGACTTGATTAGAGAAGCATTTTAAGGAGATATTTTAAGTTTGAATGGATACTTAAACATTACAGTGGCTGTAAATTACGATAATAAAATTTCTACTCTTTGGAGTAGTATGATAAAGAATGCAAAACCAAGAAATACTGCTATGGTTGGAACATATTGACACTTAATTTATTTCACTACAAACCTTCTCAGAATTGATCTTAAAGTTGCAGTATTGTTTGAATTTAAAGTTCAGCTGCAGAGGGGGGAAAAAATTATATGTATGACTTTTTTTAAGACACGAAAATTGCATTTGACGAAAAATTTGGCATTTGGTAAATGAGAATGAGATACAAATTTTTGAATATTTTGAAATTGGAGGAAAAAGGGCGTAACCATTCTTTTAACCACATTTTTTCCCAAGTTCTTAAATATTTGAAAATCTGTATCTCATTAACCGTTGCCAATTTTTTTCGTCAAATATGTGACCCAAGCTCACAAATGGGTTGTAAACTCGCACTGCACTGTATTGAGAAACAAGCCTCAATACCCAGAATAGGACGTAGAATGTGAATTTTGTGTGAATTGGGTTTTTAATCTTACTATTCCTGAGGTTTGAGTTTAAAATTCCAACTGTAAGAGGTAAAATTTAGCCATTTTCGGATGGGAGCTAATGAAAAATGAATAGAAAACTGCCGAAAATAAAAGCATTTTACTCAAAACTTGATTTAAGAAAGTTGATAAGACGACAATTATTCAAACGGTCATAACTTTGCTTCCAGACACCCGATTGAGTTCATTTAACTGTCATTTTAAAGTAAATGATATGTTCTATGTCACTATAACAAAAACTCATTTTGGCCTAAGGACGAGTTTACAGCCCGTTTGTGAGCTTGGGTCACAAATGCTTTTTGTGTCTTAGAAAACATAGTTGTACAATATATCAACGTTGTTTCTTCCTCCGGAGCCTGGCTTTAAATATGAGCCATACCCAAAATGGTTCAGAAAATCTAACAAATATAAAAGGATATGAAATAGAGTGGAAGAAAGGAATTGAAAGAAATTGGCATGAAAGTATAAAAAGCGACCGAATGAGAATACTGTAAGCAACTAAACAAGGGAAAGAACAAAATCTATAACAGTAATTGGAACACGTTACTTTTCCATGAAGGCAAACACTTAACTTTGAAACCATAATTCCACTTTTGCTGAAGAATTCCAATGTTAAAATTCAACATTTAGAGCCTACAGTTGCTTTAAAAGTTGAACATTAGAATTACTGTACTCTGCTACCTGTAAGCTTCCTTACATTGATTTACTGCAAGTAGCAATTGTAGGCAATCTGATTTATTACCTACATTATATTTCTATTTCTATCAGCATTTCTTGTGAAGCTATAAAGGTTATAAATTTTATGTAAAAAGTGTTACCAGGTATTAAAATATTCATAATATAATAAAAATAATAAAACAACTTGCTGTGCACTTTAAAGGCAGGTGTGTATTTGGCCTAAACCAGCAATTTGTACTTGTAGCTTTTTTGCCGCCACTTTGATGGGCTAATGGAAAATGATATGTAAATGAAGTTCTTTTTGAGAATGATGAGAATAACCGATGTATAACCAAAATGTTCTACATGTGTTACATTGAGAAATTCTTTGTAAATTAATAATTTAAATAATCTGACAATGATAATCGGCACTAAATCTTTTCTAAAATTATGTAAAATACAGGGGTCAATGAATGCCATTATACGAGTAGTAATATTGACCCGACCTTCACAAAGTGATGGGCTTACAGTTACACATCAGAGAAAATAAGGATGCATGAAAATACATACAGTAGCTATATTAATTATATTAATCAATAATGTAATGATAATAATATTTTAAATTTTTAATAATAAATAATACTATTAATAATACTGCTGGCCTTTAAGTCTTTAGCATCATAGGCCCTATATAATGTTTGTTCTTTCATTATGTTTATTGTTAATAGCATAATTATATTTTGTAACTTTTTTTTTATTCTTCAGGTAACATTTTTCACATTCCTTTCGGCAATTTGCGTGATTCTTCATCTTGTTGGTGCTGTTCTTTCTGGAGAGAGTGGTGCGCTTCTAAACACGTTCAAGACGTGTGCAGGACAAAGCGAACTTATAGGCAATTCTTGTCTCTGCTGCCAGGAGAGCCCCTCGTGCACTGGACAGAATAATTCTGTTGTGTTTGAGGGCATTAGCAACTGTAAAGCCATCCGCTCACTCCTCAAATACTTGATGTATATGATGTGTGGTGCGAACATTACTGCATGTGTTGTGTCATTCATCGCTACGGTGATCGGTTGTATATACATTGTTCGGAAACATACCTCACGTAGGGTAAGCAATGTTGCTTTTATTTTCAAATGTCTTCTCATTTAAAAAAAAATTCAACTATATTTTAGTCCTCAAATCGATGGTACCCATGCTACATCGTGATACACGCAAGGTGTCTTCATTCCAGATTTTCTTTTTAAATCTTGTTTTTGAAAGTTAAAAAGGAAACAGACAAAAAGGATGAGCAAGAAGCTGAGAATATAATCTTAAACTCTGTCCGCACTATCAAATTCTATGGGACAAAAAAGTGTGATATGCCCATATTTGGGTGTTAAAGTCCATATATGGGCACATTATACAAATTTGCCACATTAAAGTTTGGACAGAGCCTTATTATTTCCCATATCCATTTTAGCTACTTGCAGTACATTACACTTAGCAAATGGCAGCCTTTATTTACTTTTTTTATATTTTTTTTAATTAAAAAATAGAAAATGGGTCAAAAGAAAATACACAAACTCCTATCACTATCCTTCCACTCTGTCATATATTCCCAGAAATTTGCCTAAGCGACAGATAAGTACTCCAGCTTCCGAAGTCGGAGCTCTGGTTTTCGGCTGCACCTTCATCTTACCCAGATGGCGCAAAGAAACCGGAAAACAATTTACCCTACCACAGATGACTGGATTCTAAGTGATCAAAACACTGGTCCCTAGAGATAATGTCAGGCCTGACTAACAGGAAAAGGGGCAGTTTATTGTCACATACTAAAAAAAAGATAGAGTGCATTCAATGGAGTACATCTCCTCCATAATGCCTCTTAATAAATGCAATTTTTTTACTTCTGTAGTTTAGATCTTGGCCTTTGATATTTTCATCATCTTTCATTCATTCATTCTGGTTTATTATTAAAAGCAACAAAAATTGACATTGCAGTATGAACTGAATTGTGTCAATCTAATAAAATTAAGCAAAGACAAACAACATTCTCAAAACTAAGCACAACAACAGTATATATACATGCAAAAAGTATTCAATATAAAAATTTCAAAGATAAAAGTTGCAACTGAGCAATGAAAAATTCAAGACAAACAGAATAACGATAAAATTTGTTCCTAAAAAGATCATTAAGAAAAAACATTAAAATTACAATTAATATTTAAAAATTTAAAAATTTACAAAATTGAGATAACATTTGATTAATACAATACAAAAATAGAGGAAGGAATATCGATTTGATTTAATAATGTACAAAACAGTTGAGTGAAGTAAAAATAATTTTGAATATAAAAATATAAAATATTGCAGATTTAGTAGACCTAATACGTACGGCTTGTGAATTTGATAATACCGTAATTCATTCATTACTGTAGATTTTTGCATATTCTGGCTAACAAACAAACAAATGATTTGAAATACAAACTTCTGTGGCAGAGGTTATAGAAAACAATAGAGTAGCAATGTGACATTTTAATGGTTGTAGATTAAACATTCTAATGTTTTAATATGTCTTCTAATTTTATTATGTCTATTAGTCTAATGTCTCAAGTTGTGTTAAACAAATTTAATCTACAGAAACAAGAGCCAATTTACGATAAGCTGCTCCACAAAAGAAACTAGCCAATTTTGACTGGCTATGTGTTCAAAGTTTACTTGTGTCTTTAGTTCGTAAAGTTCAAGTAGTGAAAATCAAGTTTTCATGTTGAATCTCTCATTTGGCGATGGATAAATCTGTAGTGCCCTAGGCTTTTAAAAAAGTTAATAAATGAAATGAGTATGCACCCTTTTATTAAGGTTTATTTCAATAAATTTCATACACAGTGTATCAGCTTATCTAACCAACCTTGAGGTACACTGTCCATTTATTAAAGATATAATATTTTATGATTAAAATGTGGTACCTGTAACTTCTCTTCTAGAATCACAAAAAAATTGAAACATGGTCAAGAGGTCTCCAAATACAGAAATTAAAAAATATTAAAACACATTGTACAAATTTCTTATGATCTTCTTTTATGTTTTCTAAAACTTTATTATTGTTTCTTACGTAATTGCATTGCATGTCATCCATGATAAAATTAAAACAAATAAATATTTTGAAATAAGTGTATTTATATAAAACATGAACTTACTGTACATAAAATTTGAATATTATTTTTTTACTGTTCTATCCCTGATCAGTTTGTTTAATAATATAATATAAATAAATTCCATACGCTTACGCAGATATTGATTCAATTTCAATTTAATTTTCATGCATCATTATGATGTAACAAACCCTTGTATTGCTGACCATTTAGTGACTTCAAGTTGCGAGCCACTGGGCAAATTAACTTCGGCAGAAATACAATATCCATGTGAATTACGCCCAGTGGGAATTCAAGCATAAATACGAGAATACGTTTGTGAATTAATAGAAATCCCATGAACTTGCCAGTGTTTGCCCCTCTTGGCACATTAGTGACACACCGGCAGTCTTACAGCATTATATCGTTAGATTAATTAACTAATAACATTTGGGCCCGCTGCGTAATCTATTGATCGGCTGGTAATTCATAATGGAATATGTAAATTTCCAAATAGATCCATTGTAATCATTGGGAGTTACTCCATAAACACCTTTGCATCCCCTCGTGATTTGTGCATTTACGGATTGCACGGTACGGATAGCACCGTCTGCTCGTCGTCATCGCTCGATGGATATTTCAAATCTGAACCACCTAATCTATGAGACGATTATTGATCAAGATTGTCTCAGTTGCGTTAAAACATCATTGAGCAGGTTACTGCATTCAACACTTCTCCACTTAGCATACTGAGCAATGGAATAACTTATGCAGTTATTATCTAGTGTCTACACTCTATACATGTTGAGCTAGGATTCCTTGAGGAATATTAGGTAAGTTGGAGGAGTGTGTCTGTCTGGAAATTACAGTATACTTGCATAATTTTAATGCCAAAGTAAATCCACTGGTCACTAAAATTGAAGATTTTTGTGCTAAATTTGTAGTAGAACAGGGAGGATATAATGACAAATAAATAGATGTAATACTAAAATCAACATACTGTAGTTTTCATCGGAAATTATCTTACACTACAGCAATAGAATTTCCCATGGGTTGAAATTAAAGGTCTATCCTTCCTTTGGGGCAGGCCTTTTTTAGTTGGTGTGTTCAACTTGTTGGCGAAATACATGTTGAAATTTTGATATCATTTTCAGTATCTTCGATGGATTTGTTTTGTGTCCATATGGTTTTTTGATTCATCCTCTGTTATTCTACAGTATGGTGGCTGTGAGTGTTTTTATTGACTGTATAATATATTTTTTATAAAATTTTAGTATCAATTTCAGTATGAACAATCAAAAATATTAAACAGTGCAGCATTATTTTAAAGTAAAGGGAAAATATTATTTGTTTATTGTTTATTTGTAAGTACTGTACATTGCATATTTTTCATTACAGAAGTGTCTTTAAGGCTAATTTGGATATGGATCTTCATAATTTTGTCATAGTCAAACTTTTTGAAATCGTAATAAATGAGAGTAGTGTGTTGTTTGAATGGCTTATTCTGCAGTTACCCAAAGGTAGCCATAATTGTAATGTTATTGTTATTACAATAGTGTACTACTATGTACTTGGCACATTCCTCTTAATTGAATTTGTTTGGAAATGTTTAGTAAGGGAAGTTAATAAGTAGATGACTAGAAAAAAAAAGTGTATTCCTTTAAAAATTAAATGGTAAATTTTAAATATTAGAATATAGCAATAGGCATTTTATTACTTTTTGTGAAGCATATAGCAATAACGATAGAGAATAGGCCTATATTCTTGTTATCAACTATAGAAAGATTGACTCGGAGCAAACAGACAGAAAGCCTTCCTGGTTGTGATGAGGACAAAACCAGTCATGCATGGCGATGTATATCCATACAGGATGGTAATTATCTCGTTTCTGTAGACCACGTAATTGAGAAGATGAGGTGTAGGCTCGTGTTATAGATCAGGCTCATCTAGCCTTTCTGTTCTTTGTTCTGATTTGCTGGGCAGAATGATCCAAGACCCCATGCAGGCTTCGTCTCTGACTCAACTGTCAGTCAATACTGCCTTTAAAGAGAATTTCATTTCATTTATTTACAAGTAACAAAACATTTTCAAAACAGAAAACAGTAAGGAACAAGTGCATCATAAAAACATGTAATGGGAACACCCTAAAACTGACTAATCACTGTTGAGTGTGGCACTTACACAAAAAATTTATATTACATTATAATAAGTAGGTAAACACTTAGAACGCTTCATTACAGTACATGCTTGATGACTAATTCTTATACGTAAATATGTCAGTTCATCATCAAAGCTAGAAAAACTAAATGTTTTTTATTATTTCAAAACAGAAAATTCACACCATTTACTAGAAAGATGTATGTACCAGTGATGGTCTATGGTATACTAATTCCTAGGAAATTGTTTAGTTTTTTAGTCATGAAAAATATTCCAGGTGTTTGTAAGTAGATTTGACCACTGGTTAAAAAGGCAAGATTTACAGATACCTCTTTTAGGAATTATCATATAAAGGTAATCGTTAATGAACCTGTGATTTTGGTATTTTTTATTGCTTTAAATATTCTATTGAAAGTCATTGTTTATATTGAATAAATCATCTGCTAAGGTAGTATAGAATATTCTCAATTGTTGTATTGCTGTATAAGGTTGTTATCTAGCCTCATGAATATCCATAATCTTTCAATACATTTCTTATGAATATTCATGAGATAACATGGCTGTATCAAAACCTTTGAATGCTACTGGGATAAGTAATTTATAGCTGTGCCATGTGCTAATGTTAAAGAGAACATTACTGAGAACCTTCCAGTAATATCAAACCTGATTGGTTATTAGGGAGACTCAATTAGATCACCAACAAGCGCTAATTGACTGTAAATGCCACTGTGGATGATTCCTTTGAATTCTAGGCTGGCTGTTTGTGTGCTGTGATTTAAGGTAAACAATTGGAAGCAATTTAATAGGGCTTATGTGAACTGTCAATTTAATTCACAGTAT